CGAAAAATACTGAATTTACCAAAAATTTCGGTATACCAAAATTTTCGGTACGGTACCGAAAGTTTTTTATTAAATAATTTTAAAATATATTTAATAGTTTAAAACTTTTAATTTTTTTAATTTTTAATTTTATATTATTAACAAAAACTCAGTCTAACCCTAAATTTAGAATTCTCAATTTCAATTCTCAAATTCAATCCTCTCGTTCTCGCACAGACCTTCTTCTTCTCCACCTTCGCTCACCCACTTGCCCTAGCACCCATTGTCATCCAGATTTTTCACCGCATTACAATATTAGTCTTGCATCTTGTTCTCCCGACGCTCGCAGGTCTCTCTTACAAAAATATTTTTCTCTTTCCTCAACGTTCTCCACCATTGAGGCAAAGAAAACTGCAAGTTTAAATAATTCCTCCCAATACTAAGGTTTGAGCGTAATTTTTTTTTTTTTCAATCTCTCCTTTTCGTTGATTTTTTTTAATTTTTTGTTTCTTTTATTGTATTTTTAATTTTATTCATATTTTTCTGTATTTTTTTTTCAAAACTTGTTGCTATTTTTTTATGTGTTGCTGTAATTTAATTTGTTTTGCTTAATGAGGAGAATTAATGGATATGTAATAGTAAGTGAGTGAGTGGGTGAGTAAGCGATAAGTAAGTTTAGAACAAGAAATTCTTCATTTTTTAACATTGATGAAATTTGTAATTCCAATTTCAGAATGTTATGACTTATGTTGTGCTCTTGGATACAATATATATATATATTATATGTAGACTAGATGCAGTAATTTAGTTTAAAGTATTTCTATGCTGTCAAAATTCAAAATTTTCATATGAATGAAAAATTATAACTGCAGTGTCTTGTGACTTGTGAGTATTTTGCTAGTTTCAGTTTTTATTAGTTGCAATACTTTTTAACTTTTTTATTATTATTATTTTTTCTTTTAATGGAGTCTGAATCTCCAAGTTCATTGACCACTCCAACTACTGAGATACCTGATGAGTATTCTAGTCGTAAACGAGGAAGAGAAGATTTAACAAAGTCTCATGTAGCTCCTAAACAAAGAAGTCAACATTGGTTGCATTGTGAAAAAGGAGTTCGAACATCAAGTGATGGAAGCAAGCAATCAATCGCGACGTGCAATTATTGCAAAGATGAGATACCTATAACTTATGGAAGTACAAGTGAACTGAAAAATCATTTGGTAAAAATGTGTAAATTAAGTCCGCTATACGAAGGAGCTGAAAAGGAAGAAAAGTAATGTGTTTTAACGAATGAGTCTCTAGGAATGGGACAAGGAAGTTTATTGATTTCACGTTCTTTTAATCAAAAAAGGTGTGCATTAAAAAATTTTATGTTTCTTATTGCAAATAGTATTTTTTTTTTAATTATGAAATTTTTTATTGTAAATAGTAACCTCTTTTTTATTATTGCAAAATAGGTGTGCTTTGAAGCTCGTTGAGTATGTGATTAGCGATGAAGTGTCATTTCAAGCGGTTGAAATGAAGGGATTTATGAAATTTGTGCATGAATTACAACCAAGATTTAGACTCCCTAATCAACGAAAGGTTGCAGGTATGGTTTACGACTTATTCTTAGAGGAGAAAGCTAAGATGAAACTTGCAATCAATGGTCAAAGACTGAGTATAACTACTGACACTCGGACATCTATTCAGAATATAAATTATATGGTAGTCACAACTCATTTTATAGATAGAGATGGAAATTGCATAAGAGAATAATTAGTTTTACAAAAATTACTTGTCATTCTGGAAAAGAAATTGGTAGAATGGTTGAAGTTTGCTTGAGAGAGTGGGGATGGAAAAAGCTTTTTCAGTTGTAGTTGAAAATGCATCTTCTAATGACACCGCCATTGATTATTTGAAAAGGAGAATAAAAATGAAAAATATGTTGATGTTTGAAGGAAAATATTTACATCTGAGGTGTTCATGTCATATTCTTAACTTAATTGTTAAGGATGGTTTGAAAGAACTTGATGCATCAATTAAGTCTATCAGGAATGCAGTTAATTTTATTCATTCTTCATCTTCAAGATTGAATAAATTTGGAGAGTTTGCCGTTTTAGCTAAGTTTGCTAGTACATCAACAATGCCTATGGATGTGAAAACCAGATGAAATGCTACTTATAAAATGTTTGATGTTACATTGAAGTATTGGAGGGTGTTTAATAGGATGGCTGAAGAATTAGTGCCTTTTATGAACTATTTTTCTGAAAAGGGTAAAGAAAGGGTAGGGCCACCGAATGAGGAGAATTGGGAGAATGCGAAAATCTTTATACACTTTCTGAAGAAGTTCTACGATGCTACTTTAGAACTAAGTGCATAAAAAACTCTCACTTCTCAATTGATCTATCAATCATTGATTGCACTCCAGATTGAAATGAAAAACAAAGTGCAATGATCTTTCCAATCCGACCCTTAGAAAGGTTGCAAGTGCAATGAAATTGAAATTTGGTAAGTATTAAGGGAGTTGGGATAATATGAATCCTTTGATTTTCATTGCCAATGTTTTGGACACAAGAAACAAGCTTCAGGTGATCAAAGGGAGCATCAAAATTTTGAGAGGATCTTCTAAAAAGATCCAAGAAGTGATTGATACAGTTAAAAAAAAAAATTGGTGATTTTATAGACAGAGTATAAGGGAATGAATGAAACATTGAGTGTGGGAGAATAAAATATGGAGATAGAGTGTAGTAGTGGAGATGGTTTTAGAGGTGGTCTTTGTGATGAATTGTTTGAATGTGTGAATGCACAAAATGAAGAAGATCATCTTGAAGAGATCTCTAATGAAATTGATAAATATCTAGCAAATTGTTTGAAGAGAAACGGTTGCAAAAGATATTTTTGCAATTCCAAGTTCAACGGTGGCTAGTGAGTCCGCTTTTAAGAGGATGTGTGGTTACAATTGATATTGTTTTGCTACTTTATTGATTATCTTTGAATGCTTCTTAATTGTGTTTTCAAATGTAGTGTTGTGTGCAGCTGTATTCAAGGCAACATACATATATATTGTTTGTTGTCTGTTATAAACCTATTTTGCTCTAAAAGAATGTTTGTTGTTGGTTTGCTGCTATGGAATTGTGTATGGTATTTTGATAATTATCCTTGTTTAATTGTTAATTGTATTTTAAAATATAGTGTTGTTGTATCATCTAATTGTTCTTCTGTTGTATGTCTACTAATTTTGTTTTTTTAAGATTTTGTGCTTCTGAATTTACAAGAAAATTTCGGTATAAACGTTATATACCGGTATCGTACTGAAATTTCAAAATTTCGGTACAATCGATATATACCGGTACCCTATCGAAAGTTTCGGTATACCGAAGTTCGGTATCTTCGGTATACCGAAACGTTCGGTACGGTATCGATATATTTTCTAACATACCGATCAGTTCGGTACTGTATATGGTATGATTCAATAAATTCGGTACGGTACGGTATATAATCCCTAGTTTCAATGCTCGAGGATTGGTCAGAGAGTAGATGGGAGTGGAATATTCAACTTAGAAGACGGGTCCTGGGCTGGGAGGTGACGAGGTGGAATTTGTTTGTGACCATTTTATCTTTGACCACCCCTCATGGTGGTACAGGGTCGACAAATAGAACATATAGTACATTGAAGGGGAGACAAGGCCATGTAGATTGGTATCCAGTGGAGAAAATGATTGAAAGCGTGTGGTGAAATCTAGTGCCCCAGTAAGAACTAAAGTTGCAAGAAGAAGAGTAGTAACTAACTAATGTGGGGCTTGAGTGTCCGTCCTTTGTGCGGGAAAGAACATGATCAGTTGATCATTTATTTGTCCATTGCGAGCCAACCGGTGCTTGGATGATTCGGGATTGATCCTACGGATGCCTCAAGCCTAGCTAGCTAATCCATTCATAGAAGCACCTTCATTTCATTTGGGCAAAAAGCTTGATGTTGTTCAACAACTGAAACTGTTTTTATTCATACGGATCTCAAAAAATGATAGTGTTTGAGGGTAAGTTGCGCGGTTATATTGAGTCTTTTCAGTTATTTGCCTAGAAAGCGATTATCTATAGTGATGACTTGACTTAAAAGTAAATCATTGAGATGGGATCATGAAATGCACAAGATACTTAATTGTTGTGTTATTATTTTTCTCTGAACTTGTATTTGATGTTTTATGAGCTATTGCAAATAGCTTTTGTTATCTTCACCGCTTTGGCACGGTGGAAGTTTGGTAGGTCTATCATGTTGTGGTTGTATATCAACTATTAGTTTAAAATGGATTAATTATAATTTTACAATTTTATATTTTAAAAAAAAAATACTTTTTTTAAATCCCATTGAACTAATTTTTGTTAAATATCAACTTGTCGGGTTAGTATTATTATTATTATTATTGTTTATTTATTATTAAAAATAGCATATTAAATATTTCTTTTATACTCTTCAAAAGGAAAGTTAGTTTTTAAATTATTGGATTCGATTCTAAATTTTTTAATTAAAAATTTTAACAATAATATTTACAACAACTTTGATAAAAAATAATATACATATTTATTATTTATTCAAATTCACAAAAAAAACCCTTCTGCGCTTTAATATAAATAAAATATAATTGGGTATAAGCATAGTTATAATTATATAATATATTACTTATATAAAATTTTAAACATATTATTATTAATAAATTTTGTTTGATCTATTTACTTTTGGAAATACATATATATGTATACTTATATATATATATTTTTTAATTATCGAACCAAATATTAAAATTTTATATTTGAGTTTGATTTATATTCGATTCCAATTATAAAATTTCGAATACGAATATCAAAATCCCAACTAATCGAATAAAATTATTTAATTAATTTACAACCCTACTTATTATATAGTTTGACATAAATAATTGTTTAATAGTATATTTTACAAATATATATATATATATTCTCATAAAAAATCGTACATGATAAATAATAGTGATTCTATTTGAAATGACAAACAACCAAACCCAAAATTTGTGATTGAAATAGCAACTACTCCTATATTGTAATATAGATTCAAACATATTCAGCAATCAAAAAATGGTTACAGTCAATCTTGTACAATTATGAAGAGGAAGATGATCTATAAGACTTCTACTCACCCCCTCAACTGTCGTCGTAGCAAACATTAAAGAGGATCTTATAACCAACGGTGTGACAAAATATATCATCATAAGAAATTCCATCGTCCCATATTCACATATTACACCATGTACAAACGAAGAGCCATATCGATGCAACGAGTGAATTGTCGAAGAATAATAGGGAACTGGAATAGGCCTAATGCTCGTACTTGACTCGCGATTTTATTATCCCGGGAAGTGGGGGAGAGGCGAGAGGCATACCAAATTTGTTCGGGTTTGACAGATAGCGAGGCGCTACTTGAGATTGGGGCGCAGGAATGTTCACAATCGACATTTCGCCTCCATCTGAGGGAATGTAATTATTTTTGCTGTCAGACTGTGTATCTTTGCAGAAATTCATGGCTTTGAGAACATAGTAGTCATCATGTAGCTCGAAGGGAGTGCTGATTCGATAAAAAAAGAAAACTCGTTGTGATTGAATGTGTTAGAATAATATTGCGAAAATGAAAGCGGTGGATTGATCCTTACCTGTTGAAATCAAAATGTACCAGCTGCATGTCTTCGGATATTTCAAGTTCCACTGTGGCATGAGGACGAGTCTACGATTTGGAAAATTCAATAGAATAAATTTCGAACTCAGCTAAAAGATCAATCATTAGAAAATACATTCGTGGAAAGAATCTGGTAGAGCAAGATAACAAAATCGAAACAGAATGTACCCATGGGCAGAACTGCAAAGCTATGAATTGTTCGTGAACTCATTTAAGCTCAACAAGTCAAACAAGCTAGCTCAAAGTCACAAAATACGGGCTTGAAAAAAAAATCGAACTCCATTGACAAGGGTAGTAACTTACATAGAGTAGAATAGTATTGAATTTTTACATTGAAAATTTGAAATTTAACTCATATTGCGCCATTAACAAACTCAAGCTAGTGTTAATTCATAAACTAATTTCTATCATATTATTGCGAAATTAGAAATTTTGAACCGGAGAATTAGTGCTAGAGAAAGTATACAAGCAAATTCTTACGTATTAGTAAACTCAACCTGGATCATAATAAATGGGAATGAAACGCCGCCGGTTGGAGCATTTCCCGACCTGTATATTTGCTTATTGCGCCGAATGAGGTTTCGAAGACCAATATGCTGCAGCAAAACGAAAGGGCGGAATTGTTACATCATTAGCAATGTAGAACAGATCGGGAAACCTACACAAAGTTCTTACTAAGATTAATCAATAAACAAAATATCCCGACAGAGGTTCTTACGTGTTCCCGGAGTTCTTCCAAATAGGCTGCTTTCTTATCAATACGATTTTGAAGTGTGAGCCGTTCCGCCTATATGTGGATTACATACAAAACTAAGGTCGGATTGACTGGCAGCACGGCTATTGATAATTATTTTTCTTGCGATCGGAGAGGAAACATGAAGTGTACATCTAACCTTCAGTTCTTCAATGTCATTCAAGGTAGTTCGAGGTAGACCTTTCCATTGTATTTCCTTCTTATCTTTTGATATTATATCCATCGCCATAAGCACATTTAAAGCATCATATACTCTCCGGCGTATGTTTTTTTCATCGTATAGTTTCTGTTGGACAAATTGACAATCAAAATTCTAAGTGAAATTTCAGTTGCAGAACTACCATATGAGTACAAAATGAACATCGATATGAGCGCAAGAACCTGATCAGGAGATGCCAGACTGTCGTTGGAATCTGCAAACTCAGCAACAAGTTCATCGGCCACCTGAGAAACACATACACACACAAAAGGTCTTATATTTGATACAAATGAATTGAAAAGGTTAACAAACATAAAATTAGGAATTACTCAAAAAGTATCGAATCATATATAAACATAGTTTTCAAAGTGAGAAGAACTAACCTCATTATATGTAGTCCTCCCTTTGCTTTCCACTTTCTCACACACTATTCAAGAGATTATATAACCATTATCACTACATAAAACGTATGAATTTCAATAAAATTAGACTTCTAAGATTTCACTTTCATTTCCTCTAAGCGAAGTTCAAGCTGCCCTCTTCTATAATACAAAGTGGTGAAAATACCATAAGGTTTTCATATACAATTTAGGCTCGACATAATTTGTGAATTAAGTAGCCGACAACTTCCCATTTTTGTCTTCTTCTCATCAAATTCTTCTACATACAGAAAATAGGTGTGCTGTTTATTTCTCAACAGTAGTATAGCAGACAAAAGTCAGCATCCCGATTAATAATACATAGAGATTAAAGAGGTTCCTTACCACAACAGCAAGAGGTTTATTTAAAGAAACTTAAACTCGGACTAATGAGAAGCAAAAACCTTTCATGCTAAATTGACGAAGCCCTCTGCCACTCTTGTCACCTCCAACTGCACGTTGGCCCCTCTTTTTCTTCCTGTTGCTGTTCAGATCATTGTAACAAGTTACGATTTGCAGAGGCAAAACAAAAAACTGTAACATCAAAGACCACAAGCTCACATTGCCAATGTAATTATTATCACTGCATAAACTTCTTACTAGTAAAGATTGGAACACGCGCCGCAATTAATTTAAATGTATTGGCATTTTTCATCACTACTCTAGTAAAGCCCGCACAAAATTAAGCAACTCCAACACATAATTAAAGCATTACGATTATCCAGAGCATAGCACCAAAACCAAACCGAGGTCATTCATAGTATCAGTCAATGTCATGAACTTAACATATAAGCCTACACATTTCATTTCAAAGTTAAGCCATTTCGGCATAGAACAATACACAAAAAACATCTACACATTTCAATTGATCATATAAATTCCACAAACAGCTTCAATTATTGAATGCTATAGATAAAATTGAAGAAAACAATTCAAAGTCTAACCCAGCAGTCCCTTGCGATCGTGCGTCATCCCCTTGGCTGTCATGACAGCTCATCAGGCCCAATGCACCGTCAGTTGCAGCAGTCGCCATGGCAGCCTCACTTCGGGAGGAGGGCGATCCGACGCTACCGCTCGTCGACAAAGACTGACCAGAAACAGTGATGCCCCATGACCTGGTGGCTCCTCCGCCACCGCCCATAAACATAATCGATTGGTTCATATCACAACTTTCTTGATTGCTACTGTTCCTGTTACTATGATTCATCATCTGCACATTCAATTCAACAGACATCAACATATGAAATTCAAAAAAGGAAAATCCCCAAATGCGAAAACAAGCAAAACCTAGATAAAAATAACGATGACCATATCTAACTCCGTTGCTCGGAAGGTATACTCTACACTACTGAATTCGACAAAAGGAATCTCAAATTGGGGCAAAATTAGTAGAGCAATACAACAATTCTAAATTCATCGAAAAAACCCACCCGAAACTCGGCCCAACCCAGACAATTCACCACGACTCCTCCGCAATAAATCACGTTCCTTGAGGCAAATCCACGATCCAAAAGAAATGAAAATAAGGGTTTGTAACCGTCGGATTCGACAAACGAGTGATGGGAACAAACGGGTGTGAACCACAGACACTCCCCCAACACTAGTGCAATGCCATTGTGTATTCCACCCTTCGATTAACAGCGCATTTGGTAGAATTTTGTGAGTGGAAAAACAGAGGGAGAAGAAATTGAAGGGTAGTGGTGTGTGCTTTGATCTGCGGGAAAAAATTATCGAAAGAAGTAAGGGACGACGATGAGAAACCCTGCCAAGCAAAGAATCACTAAAAGGAGATTAAAATTTTGGAATGAGAATAATTATAATTTAATTTTAATTTTTAATTTTTTGGGAGGGAGCATTCCCAAGCCTCTCATCAAGTCTCAACGGCTTTGATTTTTTATTGATTAATTTTTAAATTAAAATTTAGACTTTATTTATATGTATTTTATACTTAGCGTTTAAATCGGGATTATTATAATTAAATTTAATTGTTATATTATTTTTTATTTAATTTTATAAATATTTACAATTAAAAAAAATATTTATATATATCTTTAATTAAAAATATATAAAAATAAATTATTTTTAATTATAATTTTATTATTAATAATTAATAAATTTGTAAAAAAAGAATTGATCATATTAACTATAAAAATACATATTAAATTATCTATACAAAGTAGATACTAAAAATAAAAGTTATAAATTAAAGTAGAATTTTATTATTATTTCTTGTACAAAATTATAATATTTTACCTAGAAGGGGAAAAATTGAGTAAAAAAATGTGAAATGTTAATTTCAATTTTTTTATAAATTTTAAATTACTATTCCATATGACATGATCTACATAATCTATCAAAGATTATTTCTAAGAAATAAATAATATTTTTTATGAAGTCACCTAAATATAATAATTAATTAGTAAAATAATATAATAGATTATAATAATTAATAAAAAATATATAACTCAAATTTATAAAAATATAGATAAAATAAAATGAAAGAGGATCAAATGCTGAAAGAAATAATCTCAGCACATAGTTGAATGGGTAAAAGTTAGTGATGTTAATTTATATCATTAAATTATATAATTAATATAATTATGTATAATTAAGTTTTAGTTATTCAGCATGGTGCTCCAGATCCATGTTGAAATAAAATTATAATATCAAACTATCAATATTTATAACTACAATTGAAAATGTCAATAATTATTATTTATTTTTAGATTTAAATAAATGAAAAAAAAATTATATTATATGTAAAAATATTTTTTATTAGAAAATTATGTAAAATAATTATATAATTTATTATTTTATTAGTTTTTTAATAGTTTTATAATATTTTCATTATAGTATTATTTTTTTGTATATATGATTCAAAAAAAATAAATTAATTTGTAATTATAACACTATTGCTAGTAATCAAATAACGATTAACAAAAAAAATACACACATCATATATAGAAAAAAAAAATACAATTTTTCAGACAATTTTTTAATGACAACGCCACTACTAAAACGAATATAATCAATTCGTATAAAAATAAATAAATAAATAATAGCGAAATAGATGAAAAAATCTATTTGAAAAATAGATTGGAAAAAGAAAATGCAAAAAAATAAAATAAAATTGAACTATACATATAAATATCGGCATCTATTTTCCTTTTCTTCAACTATGGTAAAATAATATAAATAAAATTTTATAAAAAACTTTATCTAAAATATTATATTCAACTTCAATCAATGATAATAATTAAGACGATGAACAATTTCCGACGTCCACACAGCAGTCTCCCCGTCTCCTCGGGTATGAATGAATATTACCTAATGAATATAAATATACACAAATTAGATAGTGAAAAAAATAAAAAATATATCACACCAAATTAAAAATAAATTGAAATTATAACTAAATAAAAAATGAGGAGATTAAAGAGAAAAAATCCAAATTGATTGGTGAAAAAGGTGACGGTCTCTTCCAATAGTGGTGGATCTCACATTCTTCAAACATCCAACATTACAAAATTTATACTCCATAGAAATATATATATATATATAGCAAGAAAAAATAATTTAGTAAATAGAAAAAAAAATTCAAGAAATTAGAGAAAAAAACTCAAAAAAAAATGTAAAATTGATTGATGAAGACGGCGGCAATATCTTCTAGCAACGGTGGATCTCACATTCTTCTTCAAACGTCCACCATATACAAAATATATGCTGCATACAAAAAATAGCCAATAAAAAAATAATTTAGTGAATAGAAAAAAAAAGATAAAAAAAAAAAAAAAGTCAAAGATTAGAGAAAAAATTCAAACAAATTTTAAAATTGATTGGTGAAGAATATGGAAAAACAAATGAGATGTATTACCATGATCTTCTTCTTCAGTGCAGATTTGTCTCCGATGTGATCTTTTTCTTCTATGAAAATTTATATTAACTAAATCTGAAAATAAAAGCAATTTTGTCATATTAAAAATTAAATCTAAAACCCACCCGCTACCCATTATTAAAAAATTGTTAAACACTAATTTCAAAACAAAAACTACTTATACTAAATTTTAATTTTTGTTTTCCCCAAAAAAAAAAAAAAAAAAAACTTATAAATTAAAACAAAATATATAATTCATAAACTCCAAAAAATGAGAAGCCATCAATTTGAGACGTGGAGTCTATATTCTTTGCTATAGTTATATATATAGGATTATATTGATATATCACTTAAATATTGATATGATTATATTTTTAATAAATTATATTTGTTTTCTTTTTGTTAAAAATTCTTTACCCAAAATAGTCCGGAATACTTTTGTATTAGCTAGAAAATTCTATATTGAGTCTATTTGATTCAAATAATGGGATGGAATGAGAGGCGAAGAATTTTAATGAGAGAGAGAGGGGTGATGGAAGGAAAGGGAAATGAGGCAAGGAAGGCGAGGGAAAATATTATTATTGTGTTTAGTTTGTTAGAACTTACCGGGAATTTAACCATAAGTTCAGGATCTACCGTGTTGTCATAATTGAGATAAAAATAAAGCAAAATAAATTTAACCTTATTCCATTAGTATAATCGAATTCGGATTTGCAAACAATTGAGGGTTTTGTGTTCTTCAAGCCTATGGCGCAACCCCTTCTGAGAAAACCGCTAGGGTTTCTGCCGTTACTCCCACGATGAGATATTGAACGTAATGGTTATTGCGTCTAGACCTAGGATCACAACCCTATTTATATTCCTTATTATTAATTGACCTCATCACCCAATTAATAATTTACCGGATTTCTGCACATTGAAGGCCCGCACTTACTAAATACATTTAAGCCCAATAAATTTATAGATCACTTAATATAGGTTTAATCTAACTGATAGCCCAAATAGTTACATTTAATCCACAATTGGATTTTTAATCCAACAATCTCCCACTTAGGTAAATGTACACTGAATAACTTTATGAGCTCATGAAATAATTTGCTATCAGATCCTTTAATGTATATTACCTGTAGACAAAAAATTGTGTTATTTTTAATAAACACAAAATTTGTACAAATTATATTTGATCTGAATTTAAAACGGGTCATATTCTCTAAATGAGTCATTTGATTCTCCTTCTGGGTCGATTTGTTTTCCAACTTAGTTTTCGATGGCTTCTTTGATCCGAAGATGAGGTTTGGTCTTCGGTTTGACTTTGCCGGCTTTTGGAGAGCTTTGGTCTCCGTGTGGGTGATTTGATCGTCGGCTTTGGATTTGATGTCTTTTTTAGACGATCCGAGGCTTTGATATTTGATTTGGCTTTGCCGCCTTTTGGAGGACTTTGGTCTCCGCGTTGGCGATTTGATCGTCGCCTTTGGATTTGATGTCTTTTTTAGACGATCCGAGGCTTTGATCTTTGATTTGGCTTTGCCGCCTTTTAGAGGACTTTGGTCTCCGCGTTGGCAATTTGATCATCGTCTTTGGATTTGTTGTCTTCTTTGGACGATCCGCGACTTTGACATTTGTTTTGGCTTTGCCGCTTTTGGAGGACTTCGGTCTCCGTGCGGATGATTTGATCATCGGTTTTGGATTTGATGTCTTCTTTAGACGATCTGAGGCTTTGATATTTGATTTGGTTTTGCCGCCTTTTGGAGGACTTTGGTCTCCGCGTTGGCGATTTGATCGTCGCCTTTGGATTTGATGTCTTTTTTAGACGATCCGAGGCTTTGATCTTTTATTTGGCTTTGCCGCCTTTTAGAGGACTTTGGTCTCCGCGTTGGCAATTTGATCATCGTCTTTGGATTTGTTGTCTTCTTTGGACGATCCGCGACTTTGACATTTGTTTTGGCTTTGCCGCTTTTGGAGGACTTCGGTCTCCGTGCAGATGATTTGATCATCGGTTTTGGATTTGATGTCTTCTTTAGACGATCCGCAACTTTGATCTTTAGTTTGCCTTTTCCGCCTTTTCGAGAGCTTCGGTCTCCGTGTGGGCGATTTGATCCTCAGCTTTGGATTTGTTGTCTTCTTTGGACGATCCACAACTTTGATCTTTGATTTGCCTTTTTCGCCTTTTGGAGAGCTTCGGTCTCCGTGTGGGCGATTTAATCCTCAGCTTTGGATTTGATGTCTTCTTTGGACGATCCACAGCTTTGATATTTGATTTGCCTTTTTTTGCCTTTTGGAGAGCTTCGGTCTCTGTGTGGGCGATTTGATCCTCAACTTTGGATTTGATGTCTTCTTTGGACGATCCGCAGCTTTGATCTTTGATTTGTCTTTGCCGCTTTTAGAGGGCTTTGGTCTCCGTGCGGGTGATTTGATCCTAAGCCTTCGATTTGATGTCCTCTTTAAACGATCCGCAGCTTTGATCTTTTGAGAAGGTGGATTTGATGCTCCATAACGCTTTTGGTGGCATGTCCCTTTGACTTTTGGATCGAAGAGGGCCGAGTTGATGCTTTGGTGAAGAACGCGATGAACATCTTGAAGCTTTGAGAGGAACTTTGAAGACCTTCCCTTGGCTTTGACGAATTCCTCAACGGCTTTGAGAGCTTTGATCCTTCCTCCAGCTTGGACATACGACGAAGAACGTTAACTTCATCGATTCGTCAACCAATATTGGAGCATTTGTCCAAATTAGTGACTTTCGACGAAGAACGCTTCGAAGGACACGAAAAACATGAAGAACAATACAGAGAGAGTCTAGAAACTTACCCCTTTGCTTGAATCCTCGATGCAACTTCGGTGTGCCAAATGAACTGGCCATGACTCCTATTTATAGGGGAGGGCGGCCTTGGCTTCCTTTCCGGATGG